TGTGCACAGCCAAGGCTTGCCAAAATGTCAGCTTTCTAATTTCGGCAGCTGTGAAGTTATGTAGCAAATAAGTAGACTCTGCCATAACAGGTTCTCATTTGCACGAGGTTTCACCACAGTGCACTTTTATGCATAACAGGCAGAAGTCGGCTCGGCTTACCATCGCAAGTGCAGCGTCGTTCATCCTTGCCATTTGCGCAGTCTATTATGCCATCGCAGCGTTTCGTGCTTGGCAAGCAAGTTTTTGAGGGCTCACAGTAAATGGCGTTTGGATTCCTGCATCTTTCACAGTCCTTCTCGTCTTCTCCATCTGGACAATCCTCGTAGCCGTCACAGCGCCGTGCCTGCACTCATAGCTTATAAAAAATGAGTGGCGGAATGCTAAAATTTCAGGACAGATTCCAAGACTCACTAAAGGAATGCACTTCAGCGTACCGCCGCGAGCATACACTTTGCATTGCATCGTGTCTTTACGCTGCCTCATCTCGGAGCAGTCACAATTCGCTTCGTCCGATTTGTCACCGCAGTCATCCACACCATCGCATACCTTAACTTTTAATCAGTGAATACCAATTTGCCTGGTAACTGACTGAGAAGCCAACTACAGAGATGTTCATTTTCTTTCTCGTTCTTCCGAAGGCGTCCTAGAATTCAAATTTTTCGCAAACAAATTCGCTGAAAAAGCTGTGCAATTAAATTCAGTTCTAACAAACCAGACTCCTTCTGATGCATTTCCGGTTCTTGCATGTGAACGCCGTCTCTCGATCGCATTCGCTACACAGTCCCTGGCAAGCCTTTACTATCCCACTACACGCATATTTCCTATGATAGCGAATACCGTCCTTGCATTGAATAAAATCATGCTCCTAAAAATTTGATAACCGTTTGTCTTCAGGGCTTCACATTTACATCATCATAGTGATAAGCAGATTCGAAAAAAAGCTGAAATGTCGTGTCTCTAAATCTCGAAAAGCCATTCTCCAGAGGGTCGGTTACCTTTCTTGAACTAGGCACACAGCTGCCAGGGCAGTTCACTTCATCGTCTCCACCCGGACAATCCTCATTACCATCGCAAACTTGTGAACGCGCAATGCAAACGTTCGAATTATTGCAGAGTGCCTTTCCTGTTCCTGAACATTCCTTGCAGGTGCAGTCCTAAACAAAAGAATGGCGAACAACTGGCCTTGCCTTTCTTGAACATTCTATCAATTTTTTAAGGAAGACTTTTGTCTCTGCAAGAGCATGAAAAAAGTGAGGCGCTTTTCTCCAAGAAAAGGATGTGGAACTAAGGTAGAGAGCTTCCCTATTTTGAACGAATTGTCCTGGTCCGTGTTGTGATAATGCAATACAACTTCATAAGGAGCTGCCAGATCAGGGGCTCGTAACAGCATTCAGAAGTCAGCCAAAAGTCAGCCTCCATTTTGTTTGGTAAAGCAAAGATAATCCATGCTGAGCTTTGATATCAGTTGCGCTTTTTTTTAGTTCTCTTGTGGAGATAACTCAGGAGCAGGAAATGAAGGACAAACTCTCTATTCTTACCTTGAAAATGAGCAAGG